TTTATTCTACACATGATGCATGATAGAAAAAGATTCTTCTTTACTAGTATTATGGTATATTTGTAACAGGTGATGTAATATCGACCTGTTAATGGTTTTCATACACATTTACTTATTTAGTCACACTAGTAGGTTTTCCTGAGACAGAAAATTAATTTCTAGAGCAACGGCTAATTTAATTGGCGCCACGGAGCAGCTGAATTGATAGATACAAGCTGGTGTGGCAGTTTGTCTTTCATCGAGGAATCGCAACTGTTATCTATTGATCTTAGTAATTCAGTGTCATTTGAAAACATTAATGTTGTCAATAACACTAATTCTTTAACTATTATGGACATTTAACTGTTGAACCTGATGAAGAAATCATCGAAAAGAATATTCTTTGTTCACTAGCCAGTCTTTTGAAGTTTTATAATGGGAAAATAATTAATAAAAACTGGAATATTGCATAACAATAATGTGTTACAGATAAACGAAACTATTCTCAATATGAATCAATATTAAGCCGATAACTTCTGAAAGTTAAACAGAGGTGGAAGGTTTTCTGGCTCAGAACGCAGTTGACAAATGATTTTGTTAATTTCATGTTAATTTTATTTGGTTGATGGGGGTTAGGAGTGGGGCTTTATTTGGCGCTTGTCAACTGGATGTATCTACATCTCCAGTGAGAGATGATGTTCATACGGAGACTAGAATTCAACCCCCACCCTTTCAAACACCAGGTTATTGAAACACGAAATTTACCTTTTTGCAACGAATATTAACCGTTGCTTCTGGAGTTAACCTCAATGCACTGTTTAAGTCTTCATACTAGAAGTCGAGCAGTCAACAGAGAAACTTATATAAAATTATATTATATCACAATGTTCAAATTTTACTCTTGGATTTTGATGTTCACTCAAAAAACTTTTTATTCTCATACACAAATATTTGTGTAGAAACAATATATTTCACTTAAGATGCTGAAAATAATATAGTTCTATGGGAAGTCTGACCATAGGGTCAGAGGTGTGTGAGGAAAATACTCGCCAAAATTTAGTGTCGCTTGTCTGAATGCAAATGATTAGTGATCGTTACTAATGGTCTACGTGCTCGCCTTGTAACCAGAAGGTTCTGGGTTCGAATCCCGCTGTGGGTGCGTACTGATGAAGAGTCCCAAACTAGCTGGACGAAACAGCTGTCAAGTACTCCCAGGTATAACCAATCAATCAAATCCCTACAAACCAATACTTAAATAATAGAATCACCTTCAAAATCATCTCACTTGATGATGTAACATTCACCATTAAATATTAAGGCTTAATGAATACTATAGCTTGATTTCTCGGCTATATTCTGTCTCTGCTGAAACCACTGTTGTAGAATGCACCAACTTCCTACAAATCCACTAGCTAAATACCTCTCAGAACAGTGAATAAGTGTGTACTGATTTCATGTTATAATTGCTTCAATGTATTTAAAAGAATTGTTGATCCCTTTAATCAATTTGCATAGCCCTATAATTAGACGAAGTTTATCTGATTAGTGTTGCGATATATCTGATTATTACACTTTGAACAATCTGATAAATCTGATCACACATTTGCATGTCCACTTGAATTGTATGAAAATGAAGAAACGGATGGTTAATTAAAACAGGCAGAATAATAGGGGATTTATGAGTATTGAGGACAATAATTGTGACACTACCTTTTGTAATCTAATCAAATGTATTACTTGTTAAGACATAAAAGTAGGTTTGACCGGAAATAGATGATATCTGTACACTGCTCATATGCTAAATACTCAAATGCTTCCGTGTATTACATCCGTACATTTGATTAAAACCTGGTGTATTGAGTGAAGGATTAACTTATGAATCATTTTTTTTGTTGTTACACAATATAAACTTTAATTTTACTTTGGAGACTTGGTACCTAGATATACATATATGGTTGCTTTAGACAGTTTGTTAATTATTTCAAAATAAATTCAGTTAATTTATAAAATCCGTGATTAATTTACACCTTGGTGTGATGTACCATCGGGGATTATGACGTAATAGACCATATGCATTATTTATCTTTTTTTGTGCTTAAATCATATGTCTCGTATTTAATAGCTTCAAACCATAATATCATAATTATTATTTTAATGTGGGATATACAAATAACATCAATAGAGAACAGTGGAAACGAAAGAGCATTGAAGAAGTATTCCACTTTAGTTTGGGATTCTTCGACAATTAGCATCCATAACCACTACAGAGAATTAATTGAGTGTTCACAAGTTGAAAGTTCGACTATTGTTAATGTTACTATTACTAGTGTGGTGGTCGTAGTGGAATTCAGAACGTGCATTTTGTCCTGTTTGAGACCCATCGGCTAGATTTACCTGCATTTGCAATTAGTAACGATGTTCCCAGTCGGATTCGACATCAGAGGCCATATAGTGAGTTTTGGATTCCATTGTTAGCCACCACCAACCAGGGGACATTATGTTAGCCTCAAGGTATTGTCCAGCTTCAGTACCATTGTCTAAATATCAGCAGATCATTCAACGGGAAATTCGAAAAAACCTCAATAAATCATCATGATTTAAGTATTCAGATTAGTTTTCGGTTGCTTTCTGAGTGGGAAACAGAGCGTCAAGCTTGAGCCTTGAAATCTCAGTAGTCGTGGTTTTTACGCGCTGGAGTTGCTATTCTCACACCCAATCCTTCCTCTTTACCAAGTTTACTAATGCCTAAGCGAGGTTTAGAAGTGAGTCGGCCAGGAATCGAATACCGGACGATGTCCGTGATTGGGGACCATTCTATTACTGAACCAACGACGCAGTACCTTATTTTGACACTGGGATTATTTATTCCTAAAGACAACTTTAAAGTAAGATAAGATAATGAGGTTTATTTACCATGCATAAACTTGTCGAATTATTCATGAGAAATTTCTTAAAAGTGTTAACTAGATTCCATATACGTTGGCGGAAACAACCACGCTCACAGTCCGGGTTCGATTCCAGAGTGGCTCACGGCTATATCCACTTAGTTGGTATTAAACCCGGTAAAGAAGAAGGATTGGGCTCCAAGTTAGCCAGCCCACTCCGCGAAGAAACAACACCACCAGTACTGAAACTTCACAACTCAAGCTTAGGTCCTATGTTCCACTTGGAACCCAAAGGAATGAAGTGAAAAAAATAAAATCCTGTAAAATGATAAAAGTAAAAAGCTAGGGGTTGAATATAAAATTAGACTATAACGAGAAAAATCTGAGCTAAATTATCAGCAATACAAATACATCAACTGTAAGTAATTCTAATTGGGTATATTTCACGTAGATAGTGAAAGAGTACATCTAAGTTGATTTGTTATGTGAACTAGTGTTTTAAATGATAAATTTTCCAATATTATTCCAGACATCATTGTCAGTAATTCATGAGGAGGTCTTGACTTATTCTGAACGTATACATTCTTATCTATAATTATCTCTTGAAATGCATTGAAGCTACGTTTTTTAAACATTCAATGATATAAATGACAGGATAGACATGAGACATGTGGCTATTACTCAGTGTGTCCTTGATGTCCCATCATTTAGATATGATCATACTTAAGCTAACATTCTCTGCATTGACAAATATCCAAGTATACAGACAGTTATACATTAGAATAATAATGAGTGATTACAACTCTGCACTTCAGGTTGATAGAAGTTACCGAAACGTGATGAATAGTGATGTATTCTTCATAACAAATGACTTTCTCAAGCTTATGAGAGTGGATGTTTCAAACATTTCTTAATTAACTAAGGTTTCCACAAGGAAATGGAAATGGACTGGACAGTAATAATAATAATAATAATAATAATAATAATAATTTGCTTTATTCCAAAACAGTACTTGTGATACAGAATGGAATTCTCAGCATTTTTACTACAGTATTGCATCCAGTTAGTACATTATCAATAAATAGAATTCTACATAGATTGAGGAAACCAACAGTTCATTATTACAACAATACATTGGCATGTCAGTAGCAAAGGTAAAGCTGAAACAGTGTTTGAAGGTGTTAGAAAAGTGGGAGCTGTCTTATTAACAGGCGTAAGCGAGAGAAAGAGACAAAGCAGCACATAACGGAAAAAGAAGAGAGAGAAAAGGAAAAGAAAGAAAGAAAATGTTGTACATATTGATGATGTGGGTTGGAAAGACGAGATCCAGTTGTACTACTGACTATTTAATGAATTATAGGTGTCACGCCTAATGCTTTCTTTATCACACAGAACACGAGCTAAGTAGGGTATGGTTGAGTTTTTGTACTTGCTGGTGCGAGCATATAGTTTTCTATATAGGCTTCTGGTTTTACCTGATGAGATGCAGGGGGAGAGTTGTGAGTGAAGAGGGTGGTGTGAGTTAGATAAAATGGATTTGGCCCATTTTTCACATGAGTCCATGTGCCTGTCAACCAGAGTATTAGCAAGCTGGTTAAGTGGCACGTTGCTTACCCTGCTAACAACATTTAACATCCTGCGTAAAATGTTATAGTCTTTCTTCAGTAGCCCAGGAAAAACTGAGGGGGAACAATAGAGAATAATAGGCAGGATGCGAGAATTAACGAATTGTAGGAGTAAGGGTTGGGTAATACCAGAATGTTTTAACTTCTTGATGTGGAAGGTAAGACGGAATATTTTCTTAGAAATTGCTAAGATATCAGACGAGTAATATTGTACGCCAGACCTTCGAGTGGAAACGATGAGTTGGGTTTCGGATGGTGAAGTGAATGAGATAAACCTATGTTCCCCTCAGAACCCAAGGGAATAATAATATAACAATAAGTAAACTAAGGTTATCTAAATGATGACGATTCATTATAACGGTTTGTCTTGTATAATACCCAACAGATTGCTGATTCACTATGTTATGACTTGAATATTTTTAATGTTTTTCACGTTATATAAAAGCGTTCAGTATATTCATCCTCCACTTTTCTCTTCTGTTTTATCACTGTAAATAAACCTACTTTATAGATGTGCCTACAGAATCAACTGATACAGTGAATCAACATTGTAAAGCAAATTGTTTCAATCAAATGTTAACGGATCAATTGAAATATGAAAATTTCTATTCACAAATGCAACAGTATTTGATGCTGTTATGTGAATGGTTTAAAAATAACTCTAATAATATGACAACAATGAATACTATACCAACTAATAATGATACTACTAATATCACAAATAATTCTAGTAGTATCACACATAATTGGATGAATTCAGCAACCTTGTCATCTCCGTGTTCCTCATCTTCAACATTGTCACCTGCAAGTATAACACAGTTATCAGATAATAAAAATAATAGTCCGTTGAATAACCTACCTCATGTCTTCAACTATTCTGCATCAGTCACATCTACAGGTTTCTGTACTCCTCTACTTTCCTGTTCTGTATCCTCATCCTCATCCTCGTCATCTGTCTCCTCATATTCAGCACCACTATCCATTTCTACAACATCTTCCAGTTCATATAATTGTACAGATATGTCATTAGATAGTAATAATAATAATCAAAGCAATATAACAAATTCTATTAGAAATATTCTAAGAATAATAATAATAGTAATAGTAGAAATGAAGATAATTTTCAATATTTAACAAAACATATTGAACACACTGAACCAACATTGATCAAAACAACAGAAAGCGCGTACACTGATAAGAGTGAAACCCAATGTAATCATCAAGTACGAAGCGAGAATGCAAAAAATCAAGAAGAAGAAAGCGAACAAATGAAGATATTGACAAATAACTTTATTGAGAAAATTTACCAAAATATTTTATTTTATTACTATTATTATATGAATTACAATTATAGTATAATAATAATAATAATAACAACATAAATACTACTGCAAGCAATAGTAATAACCCTTGTCACAATTTAATTTCACCGGAATTTCCCACATTGAAAAATGAACAAGAAATTAATTCATTTAAAGTCAGTCAGAACAATACTAGTATAAATAGTTTAAATATGATGAATACTCATTCTCAGAGCATCAATAATCACGCATACGACAGTGTATATAGCAACTGTATCCAGGGGATGATGTTTAGTGAATGCATAAATGCGAAATCTTGTATAAACTCACCTGCAACAACAAGAACAGCACCATCCCAAGTACCAGTAGACATTAATAAGTTACCAGTTAGTAATACGAGTAATAATGAATATGAATTAGTCAACAATAGTTTCAGTCAATTAATCAATACATATGATTATCATATGCAAAAGATTGTTCAAATGAAACAAGAAGGAATGCATAAAGGAGGAGTCAGTGAAGGAGATGATGGTGAAGAAGCGGGGGAAGAGCAAAGAGGAAAAGGAAGAGTTAAACAAACAACAAAGTATAATCAATGTTCAATGAATTCAAAGAATCATAAGAATGTATATCATAAAAATTTGAACAATACTAAACGTTGGTTTAAAACTTTTCATGAAAATTCAAAAGTACGAAAAGGTAAGATAAAAAAAGGTTCTATCACTTACCATTTTATTTACTTCCCTATATTGTTTTAATTAATCAAACGTAGAAAACATGAAGTTGTAGGTTAAGCTCATCAATATAAGTTTACCACTTTATGACAACAGTGAAGAAAAGAGTAATTACAAGGTGTTTTCGCGCATACTATAACGAACAACTCAATAAATATTACAGTTGTCTGAAAAATCTAAGAAACACTTTTAAGACAGGTAAATCTGACACTAGAAATGATTACAGTATTCTCTTAAATCACATAAGGTTGTGGACAACATTAACTACCTGAGGAAATTCAGACTATTATTGATCGCCTCTATTCTATTACATAAAAGAGTGAATTTTTTCTGGAGATAAGTTTTGTACTCACCCTTGTGATGAGCAAATGGTTTAATTTCAAACACATTTTTTGAAATTAGTACACTGACGAGTAGATGTTTATTTATCAGAGGCACATGAAATTATTATTTAACAGACTGGTGATTAGCAGTAGAATGCAGAATACACGTGAGTAATTGATGGTATCCACAATGAAAATGAAATCCAGAACGCATTCTTCCCAGTAATACTCCTAACTTAAGAAAACAACCTTTCATGAATATACTGGTAACAGTTATTGTTCAGTAGAATTTATAACTGTTTGTTTATTTTTACTATATTGAAATGATCAGCCTGTACTACCATTTGTGCTTTTCTAACGATCTTCTAGTTGATGTCTTTCGTGTCAGCTGAATGTTATTTCATAGGTTTTCATTGAAGCATCAGCTCTACAAGACTATATGTCAACAGAGACTAGTTCTTCTGGCTTAGAAATGATAAACAACAGTAAATAACACGGTTTAATACCAGTAATACATGAAACTGTATCCGATTGATTTAAGTAGTCGATTTAGAAATCGTCGATATTAGATAGTTGGAGGCAATTGCCAAGAAACCTTCTACTTAGCTTTCGTGCTAGTTAGCGCTTGTCAGCAAGGTGTATCTGCATCCTTGAAGAAACTTATATCCCTTCTTAGATTCCAACCTGTGTCACCCAGTGCTGCAGTCAGAGACGTTACCACTGAGTTACTCGCGTTCGCGATTGACCTCCTGTAGGACTGTAGTGGATATTTTGATCAGTCAGTAACTAGTGTAATGTATCTAGTCCTATATTTGGTGCAGACTGAATTCTATCAGTCAAGTTTGCAATGTGGCCAACATGCTAGATGGCTCGCCATCACGGTGTACTGTGAACTGTTTATACAATATGGTTGGAGGCAATACACAGTACACCGTGATGACGAGTCACCTAGATTGGTGGCCATATTGCAAACTTGACTGATAGGATTCAGTCTGCACCAATTATAGGACTAGATACATGACGCTAGTTACTGATGAGTGTACAATCAAAAAATTTTAAAATCACTGGGAAACTTGTTGATTTGAATATTTTTCATCTGTTGCCTAGTTGTCTAACATGAATTAACTACTCGGGCTAACTGGTAATACCATTAATCGAATTCGCAGTTTTCAGTTTACACAGTTCGAGGTGGAATTTCATCACCGTTTCCTTTGGTAACCGAAATTACTCAGTTCAAAGTGAGTGAGCTAGTTGATACCGTGAAGGGCAATCACCTGGGTGGTTTGAGGAGAGCTAAACTTGGTACACTGGTGATGACCTAGGCCTTAAATGAGCATAACGGTCGCTCGATGCTGAAATTACTTCAATCTGGTTAGCAGTCACTCCTGTTTAATATGAGTGATATCCAACTACTCATATCAATTAATCAGTAGTATATACAGTCACAGTGAACCTGGATTTATTACGTATTGTTGCTCATAAACAGGCTGTATGTGGCATGACTGAGAAAGCACGAACAACACTCTGTAGGCATGATTGATCATCAGATTAGGATCAGTGTAGTAGTCTAGCTTCCAGCTGTCTTGAATGAAATCTGTGCTCCATGTTGTAAACAAGCTATGTAACATTGAACTGCAAGCTAAAATGCGATTTTACTTTGGTCTTGAATGTCAAACCGGTGACCTAGATGTTGAATGATTCCAGTTCAAAGGTTTAAAGAAGCATGAATTTCTCCAACAGTTCAGATTTACCCAACTGATAATTGATAGCAGGGACTAAGTTAGCTAACTGTAATCATCCCATGCTGAAATAAAAAGTGTATCACGATACACAGCTGTTGTTCAACAGTGACATTCTGAATGCAATGAAGACATCTGCAATGGTCTATTCGCCATTTCTGATTTGCTTTAAAATTATTTTCTTAAATTATTATTATTATCATACTATTCCCTTTACAAAAAATATATATTCACATTATATTCCCCTCGTTTTGTTATTTTTCTAATGAATCCAGTAGAAACACACTTCGACTTTAAACATTTAGCACAATCGTGTATTGATGCTGAAGTGAATAGCATTCGAAATGTACCCAGTTCATCATTTAATCTGCCATCAATGCAATTTCATCATGAAAACCAGTATTATCCTAATCAACAGTTGATCGGTAGAAGTACTGAAGCTACAAATAATTCCAGTGTTTACAACATTGAATCATCATTGATGAGTCCATCATCAGGGGCACTGTCACCGCTGTCATCCTCTATATCGTCGTCAATACTAGCAGCAGCTTCAACGACGACGACAACAACAACAACCATTTCAGCCGTAGCAATGGAGAGGCGGATTGTAAATTTTAAAGATAACAGAAGTAATCGTTTAACTGGAATTCATCTGAAGGCTACAGATTCAAGGTATGTTCATATATATGGATTATATTCATTAAGGATTGAATGATTCCATATTTTTAAGCTAAACGAAGAGTACAAATAGAAAAATTCATGGGCCATTGAATCGGGTCCCAGTGGTTGAATGGTATACGAGCTTGCCTTGTAACCGGAAGGTCCTGGGTTCGAACCCTAGTGGGTGCGTACTGCCGATGATTCCCAAACTAGGACGGAGGAAACAGCTGTCCAGTACTCTCTACAGGTTTCCCAATGCTTCTCTAACTGATTTTATAAGTTGTTGTCATTTATCTAAGAAAATAATCCTCAGTTACCGAGATCTGTCTTGTTGAGTACACCAACTGCTGACTAATTACAGTTTTTTTATTCCTTCACGTTCCTAGTGGAACATAGGGCTTCAAGCTGGTGGCTTGAAGTTTCTGTAGCAGTGTTTATTTTTTACAGGATGATGGGGTTGCTAGCCTCATGCCCAACCTTTCCTCTTTACCAGCATTTTATTATTGGCTTAGAGAGGTAAAGGAGTGCGTCCTGTGGCCGGGGATCGGACCCCGGACCAAGTGCATGGTCGGTGAGCGTCCTAACCGCTGTGCCACCGACGCACAACTAATTAAAGTTGGTGCACAAAAACGACTTGAGTGACATCGGTGAACCGAATGGCGATGAATATTGTCAGTAGATAAGACCCCTGACTGTTAACGTCAGTAAATAAATGCATTGTTGTCACTTAATGTATAAACTAGCTGGAACCAATTAAGTGAAGACTACTCATTTATAAATGTCAGTAATATATAACTAAGTGTTAATAATAGTAGTAGTTTTAGGATGAAGCGATTGGTGAGGCTCGGAAGAATTTTGATGATAAATAATTCATTGTAGGTATATAAATTTGGTACACCATATCTCCAATGCTTTATTTGCACATCATTCGAAAATTGGTCAAATATCACCACATTCGATAGCTTGTTGGATTCTGCACAGTGTTTCTAACGTTGTTCTCACAATTTTGTTCTTCGATTGCTTTTTCCAGTGTCCCAGACATATTTTGTTGCTTTTCTGAACTCGTTTACTGATATACTACTTATATCTGATTATAAGTAGCACTCACTACAGTAATAGTAGTAGTGGTAGTAACTATAATCATATTGTTTCATTCTCTTATTATTATTATGATTAACAATATGTAATCGATTTCTGTGAACATCTACGTGCTTTACAGTATTATTGTAGTTGAAGTTTTAATATTGTGTGCACAGTGATTTGTGTGCATGTTCATCGCATAGAACACCTGTACACGTGTGTATGTGCCTCAGTTTATCCTGTTATAAATACCACTTGAGGATCAACAATATTTTCATTCACATACAAGCACACACACACACAAACAAAGGCATATGAAATGCACAGTACTTTGATAAAAAAGTAGAAGTAGACAAATACAATGTAACAAAAACTTTAAATAAATTTCAATTATAACCTAAATTTCAATCTGTGTAAATTTCTAAAGTAATTTTGTTTGTTATTTATTATAATAATAATCATAATAATTTTTTTAAAGACGAAACAAATTATGCGCACTACTTATCGACTATAATTAACTAACTGACCATTTCTGTTAATTGTAATCACAATTCCACCTACTGGATCAGAAGGTAGGAATAAATTTGGACAAGATGAAATTGATAAAATACAAAATAAAATTTAAAAAAAGAAATAATTCAAATGTGTAACTGTGCTGCCTATCTCACTTATGAACTAACCGACTAGTGAGTGTATAATCGTTTATTCCAAGGGACAGTACTTATATGTGTGGCGTGCTGTATGTGTGCGTGTGTATGTCTACAGACGCTCACAAACGCCCACGCACGAATATACACACACACACACGTATGCAGAGATAGCTAGACAAACAAATTATGGACGATTAGTGAAAGTTATCATTTCCTTTTTTTACCCATCTTAGTTACTAGAAATACTCGATTTAATCAACATACATTGATGATTACAAAAAAATATTTATCTTAAAATGGACACGTAGATAAGTGAAACTAGAAATACTCATCAAACATAATAGTTTATCTGACCAACCAATCGAAAGATTGGATTCAGCTGACTCAAATAAGAATGTATATCCAAATTCTTTACTGTTCCTTTGATTCTATTATTATATAAAAACAGTTTTGGACTCAGAAATTCTACTAATATAGAATGTGTCTTATCGTGAAAAAAAAGACTGTGCTCATGTGTTATGCACACCTTTAGACTGGAGATTTGACTTTGTCTGTGTGTGTGTGTGTGTTGTATATGGGTCTGTTAGTTGGTTGGTTGGTTGTTGACGGAATGTGACTGATGCGCTTATATAGTCATACGTGCCACTAGACAGATTAATAATCGTATATACCAACGAAATATATACATATATAGGCTTCTGAGTACATTGTTACCAAGGTAACATTATATCCTTGTGTTTTTAAGTATACAAAATGCCACAAAAACTACTGTAATATGTTTTAGAGAAAAATAATATTTATTTTTTAAAAACTCTTAATTCCTTTTCTCACTATTCTTTTCTGATGGACGTGTTAAATCAGTAATATATTACTTACATATTTTGAAATATTTTTAAACGAACGTGTGAGTATTTTTTTCTGTCTTTGTCGTTAAATATTTGAGTAAAATAAATAAATAAAACTTTCATTATTGATTCGACTGAATAAAACAAAAAATTATGTCGACTAATTGATTCGTCTGCCATTCGGTATATAGACTATTGAAATACAACTCTTTATAATATCTATTCAATTCATATAAAACATGACTAGTTATCATTGTCACTTAGGTCTGACTTAATAAGTCATCTTGTACAAGGTTGTATGACTTCATACATTTGATCACCTTTCATTTGTGTATTGGTGGTTTAATGGCAGAATACTTGTCAACCATGTCACAGGTTTAGGCTTGATTGCCGACCGACTCACTCCTAAACTTTGCCCAGTGTACTATCCTGTAGTAAGCGTAGCAAGAGGGGAAGGTTGGACATCAAAAGAACACCACCGCTACTAAAACGTCAAAGCTTGAAGTCCCGCATTCCACTCGGAAGGCAAGGAATGACTACTTTCAGAAGTTTAAATGAAGTGATAGTGTGGTGAGAGCTATCTGCAAGACAAAATTGTAGACAACAATTTACGTCAATGAGAAAAGAACAAGAACAAAGACTAACTCAACAACCAATCACAGCAGACTTAGCGTGGGCGGATACGATTCTCAGATAAATCACCGGACTGTCTGAGAAACGGCAACAAAGAGATGACAGAATAACCTTCAGCAGGAAAACAACCAATCAGAAGACGTTGCTTCTCTGTTAACAATAACGAATAATAATGTACATAAAAATCTATAAATATGTGTTGATTTTCTCAATAAACGATCTGTTGCCTGGCCATTGTCTTCTGTCGTTACAATAGTGTCGAGCTTCACAAAATACAACAGATTCATGATATTTCTTTGAACATTTTCAAAATGCATACTACCTGTTAAGGTTAATAGCTAGAATATAAGTGAAAAATCTTGTCATGATGGGATGTGAATCAGGAGTATTCTGAATGTCTGCCTAATCTTTTATAAGTAAGCTAGCGGATGTAATCACTGAGAATCTCTCAACTAACTTATATTTGACAACGGCCTGTAATGTGCACTCATCTACTTTACACTACACATATTCTATAACTAGATATTTATTTCGCATTGGGTAATATACCTTTAAATACAGTCTAAGTGTGTATGAGTTTTAGCCCAAGTCTGTTTTCCCCCTTTAATTGTAGATTATAGTACATCACTAAACTATCCTATTAAAGTCGTCTCATTCCATCATCATTTCACGATTTTATAACCTTAATGGTTTTTACTTATAACTTATTGAGCGACATCGTGGATTTTATCACAAACTGAAATCCACTATAAGATCACTGAAAACTAAGGAGCACTGGACAGTTGTTTAACTCTACTACGGAACTATTCAGTAGTATATACCCAGCAGGCTACTAAGGATCAAACACAGAACCCTTAGGTTAGGAGGGGAATACGTTAATATTCAGTCACTGGAACGGAACGTAATGACGATTAGATTCTGACTTCAGCCAGTTCACTATGTTATAACGCCACTGCCAACCAATTTCATCGGCGAGTATCCATTTTCACATGAGACTTGGTGTATCCCATCGCTCAAGTTTTTTTCACCACAAGTTCAGTGAATATTTAGAAATTATTGAGCAAAAGCTTGCACAATTAAGAGATAACCAACTAAAAAATAAAACTTCTCACATAAATATACAAATTTTTAGTTTGAAACAGTAAGACAAATATTTTCAGGGTAAGTTTAGTCATGAACGCACGTCACTTAGGGAATCAGTGAAAACCGGTTAGCTTTGAGTGACTGTTTTGCCCTACTTCAAGGCATTTCACTAGTGTTTATTTATGACCCAAAAAAGAATCGAGCCCAAAATCTTCAGGTTACAAAGCTAATGAAATCCTGATCAATTCAACGTTTGAAAACTAACCCATTGGTTGTTAGTGAATGATTACATGATGGATTTCCTGGACTTTTAATGAGTTATTGCTTGAAGGTCCATCATGTCTGGCAGTGTTGCTTTCTCATGGAAACTTAGTTTATGACACATTATTTGAATAGTAACGTGGTAGCTTAGTAACCTGAACATTATGGATTTTATCCCTTGCGAGGTGACAGCTACACAAAGCTGAAGTGCTGCAAAATAAGACCAAGTAGTACTGTGGTGTCCCCTTTTTACAAGGATTATCCAACTCAAGATGATTGGTGACGAAATCTAAACTTGACAGGGATTTTCAACAGCTTGAAATATTTCATCGTACGACAGTTGAGTTCACGAAGTAAACTGAATCCTCATTGCAAATATTTTTTCACCGTTAATTGAGTTAAACCATTTGAGCATAGCGTTTAAACATGAGGAAACGAAATCCGAATTACTGTATAAGAATTAGGTAAAATAGAAGCTCTATAATTCACCTAAGTATGTTTCTATGGCTGAATTATTTTATTTTATTTTACTTGAATTCATTAAATTGAGATTTCATCTAGAATTATTACATTTTGTTAATGAGATAAAATATTTAGATAAGAGACTGTTAAATTCCGCCTTTAGTTTAACGTGTGAATGTGTACTGAGTCAGCCAGTTAGTTGCCTTTCGGGGATTTTATTTCAAATTAATCACATGAACTCCTTATTAGAAATATGTATGAGCTTCATTCAACACAAATATATAGGATAGTGTAACTAGGTTTGGGAAATTATTATTAACCAGGAGGTCCTGTGGGTGCGTACCGATGAAGAGTCCCAAACTAGGACGAAATAGCTGTCCAGTACTTCCAGGTTTTCTGGTGATTCTGTAACTGATGTTAGCTCATGATGAAATCCTCCATGCAATCAAACAAAATCCCTACAAAACCAATACTTGAATATTATTAATGTGACGACTAATAACTGGGAGTGAAATGGAGAAATCTAGGTAGCGGTAGGATTCGAACTAGTGACCCAATGTTCTGCCAGCTGAGCTAGGAGGCCCAGCTTTCAACTAGGATCTGACTTCAGTTTCAGTCATCACTTATTACAGTTATATTTTATTACTTATAATAGTAGGATAAGTTGTGCAAAATATGCAAACGATTGGCGGAACCCGGGATCGAAATGGAGACATTTAGATTTTCAGTCTAACGTTCTCTGTGTTGAGTTTTTCCGGCCATCAAGTGATACATCGGTGGTTCAGTGGTAGGATGCTCGTCAGCCACCCAAGTAGTCCGAGTTCATTTCCCGGTCGACGTACTACTAAACCTCGCTTAGCCGGTAGTAAGCCCAGTAAAGAGGGAAAGTTGGGCGTGAGGCTAGCAACCCCACCCCGTGAAATCGAAATAAACACCTCCGCTAGTGAAACTTTAAAGCTAAAGTCTCAAGTTCTATTTTCCACTTGGAATGCAAAGGAGTGAAAAAAGTATAATAATGATAGAAGAGATTTATTTATCAATACTTATTTTAGTAGTATGTTAGTTAGAAGAAAAATATCTTTGTTGAACTACTTTCATTTTGTGTTTTTCTCCACTTTGAATTGCATTTGTTTAACAGATTACGTGTAAATTGTGGTCGATTGATTCCTCCAAAAGAAGACAAAACAAATCATAATGGACCACGCAGAAGGTGATTATAATTATTAATTATTATTAATACTATTATGATAGTTATTTCTTTACCTCAATGTTTTCCTTCCATGCACAATTATAATCTGAATTTTATGTCGTCTATTAATTAATAAGAGTATCTAAGTGTTACTATAGAGAGACTAGAGTCTATTGACTTTCAGGGCATTTCAACGACTTCAGGAGATCATTGTTTAAACAAACAGTGTTATGTTAATAAAGAACTTCTTTGTAAATAATTCTAATATTTGGTTGGAGGATTTCATCATGAGCGGCATCATTTAGAGGACCATTGCAAAACCACCTGGGAGTACTGGACAGTTGTTTCGTCCAGTTTGGGACTCTTCAGCAGTACGCACCCACACTGCGGGGTTTGAACCCAGGACCTTCTGGTTACAAGGCGGGCTCGTAGAGAATTAAGCCACTGGGACCCGATCCATTGGCCAGTGTAACTTCTGCCAATTCATGACATAGCCCGACGACTTCGTAATGTCTTGTTTGATGAGTTACTACCTCACATTCAAGTGCTGTAGCCTACTCGTCAGGCTTCCCACTAGAACCCCAGGTTGACTGCTTGAATAGAGCCAGTTGCTAGTGAGCATCAGCCTAATTTTCAAGTATTGGTTTTGTAGGGATTTTGTTCGATTGGTTACAGGATTTCATCTGCAAGCTCGCCTTGTGACCAGAAGGTCCTTGGTTCGAACCCCGCAGTGTGGTTGCTTGCTGATGAAGAGTCCCAAACTACGATGGAAGAAACAACTGTACAATACTCCCTGCAGGTTTTCCAATGGTTCTCTGACTGATGTCAGCTCATAATGAAATCCTCCATCCAATCAAAAAAAATCCCTACAAAACCAATACTTGAAAATTCTAATATTCATCAAGTGTGTTTGATTAGGGCACTTCAATTCATTGATTTTGGGGGCAAGGAGTTGTTTTACAGACACACACATATAAACATTGTAATCATTTGGATTTTTGTAACGACTGTTGGTGTATTTTTACCCTAGTTAGAGAGTTGATCAGTATTTCTTATCTTGTCACCATTTATTTTGTCTTTTGATTCATAGAATTCGTAAACAATATATATGTCGATTTTGTTTACGTCAATTTACAAAATCCTACAATCTTTTAATTCATGAACGTACACATACAAATGAAAGACCATTTCCTTGTGATGTCTGTGGTAAGGCATTTCGACGACAGGATCATTTAAGAGATCATAGGTAAGTAATGTCAATCTTTGCTTTTCTTTTCACATTATAGAAATAAACAGCATTACTTTTTATTGTCTATCTGAGTGAAGCGATGACAAATATCAGTCACTTAGTTGGTAGAAAATTCAATATTTTAGTGAGAATAAGAGATCAATGGATGCCCGTTTCGTCTTAATTTAGGACTTCCCACTGATGTGTACTCAAAATGGGTGAACAGTAGTAGGACCACATTTTGTTGATGAAATGTTGTTATTGAATCACCAAATGTGAATTCAAACTTCCACATTTTCACAGTCTTTCCGGTACGTTATAAAACACCATCACTATGAGATTTTAGTGTAGCCATAGAAATAAAGGAAAAGACTTACCTTCGAATAACCCATCAATTGATGTTATAAAACATGCTGGCTCCTAGTACAGATTCTTCGACAGTGTCTTTGGTTTGAAACCGTAGGAATAACATCACTCATTGGAGATGCAAGCATATGCAGTAGATGAGTCCAAGTAGGGACGAAACGCGTACCTTTGATCCTCTACTAGCTCTCATAGGTCGGATGGCAATATCTTATATATATATATATCCTATCCTTTCAGTGTGGTTGTGAGATATATCTTTCACTTATGTATTTATTTTATCCTTCGATAGATTCACACATAGCTCAAAGAAACCATTCCTATGTGAAATTTGTGGTAAAGGATTTTGTCAATCACGTACTCTGGCATTACATCGTACCACTCATCAAGTGAATCAGTTAGAAAGTAATTCACCAGTTATTCAATCCAATGAGTTTAATAATAATAATAAAACAAGCGCTATGAGTGATAAAAATTCTAAAATGGCTTTCAACAATTCCTCCTGTCTTCCTTTATTACAACCTCCTTCTATTCCTATGCATCATCGTCAAGATCAAAAGCAACAGTGTTATCCCCATGAACAACGTGATCGCGAACAGGAACAAGATGAAGAAAATCGTACTACTAGAAATGATCAGCATATTACTGAACCAGTGTTATGGAGTTAAGATTTCTATGTAGAAAAGATTTTTAAAAATACTTTTTTCATATATTTGTTTACTTATCCTATCCTGCCTCCCTTCTCTTGACAAAAACAAATCAGAAGAACAACACCAGGATAGTATCAAGTGGTTATACGGAAGATTTACTTTTGTACACAACAACTTCCGTTATCCATAAATATACACACATATTCAAGAAACATGAAGTGTAGACAAAAGATGTGTTGTTTAACTCTTCTGTAAACTGACTACTATACATTTCAAATAAACACAATTCACGAAGAATACTGTTGGGTAATTTTCGTTTGCCTCCTTCTTCTTCCTCTCCTCACCTCTATATTCATCGACAGTCACCGATTTCACCTATAACATGTATGTTTCAATATTGATGTTAGTCTGAAGTTACCAGTCTAGCAACAGGTGTTTTGCTCTTTACCTTACCTCTTTCTTGTTTAGTTTATTTTCTTCAGTATGAAGATTATTTGAAAAAAAAATTGAGTGCATATCAAATTTTACTTAATATACATATAAGTATTACATTTGTTCGTGTACTTCTTTTCCTTTCACTCACTCACTCACTCACTCACTCACTCACTCACTCACTCACTCACTCACTCACTCACTCACTCACTCACTCACTCACTCACTCGCTCACTGACTGACTGACTGACTGACTGACTGGCTGACTGACTGACTGACTGACTTAGTGATTTGTTAGTATTCCCTTAGGTTCCAAATAGGACTTGGGGCTTCAACAGCACGTCTCCACTTCATCCTCCCTCAGTCTCCTCCATGTCACCCTCGGACGCATGATTCGCCGTTTCCCATCTGGGTTCCACTCGATGGGCTGCTTTGCGCGTGATGTCACTCAGTTGTCTCCCCAGTCTTTGTGTGTCCGAACCATCTGCATTTTCTTCGGCATATTTGTAAGGCAATAGGTGGTTGGTTGGTCCGTTCCCAGAGTCCCTTGTTGTTATCCCTTCTGCTCGGCCATCTGGTCTCTTCAGTATGGAGTAAAGCCAGCTGTTTATGAAAGTGTGAAGCCTGTTCGAAATGGTTTTCATAACGTGTGCGTTAAGTCTCTGAGCCATATAAGAGCACTGATCTGACGTTAGTGTTGAAATAATGCAGTGTATTTCCACAGTGATTTCAGACTAATGAAGGCGTTTCCTACTATTCTGATCCTGCAGTTGACATACTCATACGTGCTTCTTGTAGCTGAAGCAATTAACTACCTATCTATAATGACTACAGAAGTGCTCTCACCATGATCATGCTGCGGAGAGACAATGTTGAAGAGTATAAAAAAGTTAGTTGATTGCTTCCTTTTTAGTAAATATAGATGAATTTTGAAATTTTATTCCCGTTTCCATATATATCTGAAGCATTGAGCAATAAAGTTGTCGTCCATACCATCTTTAATAAACATATTTTATTATGATATGTTATAGATGTTCAAAAGAATGTTAACGAAGAATAGAGACAAAATAGTGACTAGTTATCAGTTGGCACTTAGGTGTCTGCTGAATATGATCTTATCAAAGGTAATCTGTTCAGTATGTGCATGTGAGTTGTACAGACCTGGGCGATAATGTTTTCATCAATGAGTGTAAGAATGAACACTTCATAGTATGTATAAGTGATAATCTTGCGCCAATTTCCACCTTATAATTTACTTACACTGACCATATTTACCACTGAATTATACCACTGAAGTAACTCTACCGTTAACATTTTTATTGACCAAAACTATACAAACAATGAGACAGCAAGTAAGACTTTCAAATAAACCTCTAAAACCTCCTATTAGAAGTAATCTATTGTTGGATAAGTAAATATTAGTAATAAAAAGATTAGGGGAAAATACCTGTAAACGATAGTTGGATGATGGCTATGTTGTGTTGTAAGTTGTCCATGAGTGAGACTAATAAAATTCTGGTGTCGATTTAATTTAATTATCAGACAGTGCGAATCCTCTCACAATAGATTTATTCCTATACCACATTATTTGAAATCTTCAAATTTAAAACAGAACAACTGTCTAAATTTGTTTGAGTTAATTCTGCATTTCCCATTGATTAACGCTGACAAATAATAACTGATACCGGTTGAACAAGATGTAGTTCTCGTGACGCAATCAGTCTAGTGAATAACGTTTTGGAGTTTGAAACTTTGACTGACAGGTTTGAGTCTCAGTGGGCACACTATCACTTACGTGGGATGCAGATACATCCGGCTGAAAAGTCCCAGTCAGGTAGAAATGAGCATCTTGGATTCCACTACAAGTCACCATCCACCAAATAAGAATAGTTGTCCATTATCGATTAAATTGTCGGGGTGATTCCTTAGTAAACACTAGTTATATCTCATTCATTATGAAAACAAAGATTACTGAATAAATAATGAATCGCATAACATACTTCAATGGTATACGAGCTTGCCTTGTAACCGGAAGGTCCTGGGTTCGAACCCCAGTGGTAGCGTACTGCCGATGATTCCCAAACTAGAATGAAACAGCTGTCCAGTACTCCCTGCTGGTTTCCAATGGTTCTCTAACTGATATCAATCCATGATCAACTCGTAAAAACAAATCTAATCCTCACAAACCAACTACAGAAAATCCTTCAAATAGTTAATTAAAGTAGTTTTCTTAATATAAAAGATGATAATTAGATAAAGCAAAACATATAACTGAGATGAAACTATACAGACTACAAATATACTGATTAGGTTGACTAACTTGCTGGCAGAACGTCTGCAGTATACTATCAATATAAATTAACTAAAAAGAAATTAGAACTAATTACAAACAATAAGAAGACTTTAAAAAAATCTTTCAACATCCCACTTTTGTATTTTTAATTTTCATAGTATACACCTTTATTGAAAGATTTATAACACTGTAAAATGCCACTGTTCACAGTCTGTAGTTTAGTGTGTTTTCTACCCCGTGCTTTTGTAGAACACATATATGTTAATGTCTATCCCATTTATGCTTTGTGCCATAGATACATACATGTATTATGATGAGTGGCTAGTATAAATAATTATGACGGATATGACAAGCGTGATGAAGACGATGATGTTGATGATGCTGTTGACGGTGATCATAGTTAATGACGAAAATGAATCTCTCTTGTGAATTCTTTATATCAGTGTACGTGTCCATGTTTTTTTTAATATGCGTAAGAATGACTACCGGGTAAACAGAGTGAAAATTGAGGAACACACACACACACACAAACACACTTACATACACGCGCTAGTCGACAAGTAAATAAATAAATAGTGAAACAGTTGTCAAAACACTCTGAATAACTAGAACAGTTGCGATCTAATCATGACTGTCAGAAAGTGTTAAGAATGAAGAAGATGGAATAGAGAAGGAGGAGTTTTAGAAGAAGAAAGAAAAAATAAAGAAGGGAATAAAACAATTCATGAAAAGTTTGTGTGTACGTGCATGTTCCTTGTTTTACAGCACAGAAATGAAAAGTAAGCAGGAGAAGGAGAAAGGGAGAAGGAATAGCTGGGATAGAAAAGAGAAAGAGGAGTACATCAAGACGAAGAAGCAACACCAGTGACAGTTAAATGGTGATATATAATAAATACACTTATGATTAATGATCTCGACAAAATAATTCCAACTGAATGGCCTTTTGTATCCAGCGTTGTTTGAAAGGTGAGCCAAAAAACATAACACGTCTAGTAGAAGACAATGTTACAATGTTACACAGAAGAGATAATTACCAGTTCTAGGATAAATATAAAATATCAAAGGTGTGAATTAACTAATAAATTCCATTCTACATGTGCTTGTCTCCGTGTGTCTAAATAAGCAAAACAAGTTACGGGGACATAACACAGAATACTTATACGCATACACATTGTAGAAATCAATCTCTTCACCTACACAGTAGCCAACACCAGTCTTCAAATTGGGCTTTCTTTTCTGTCTCGCTTTCTCTCTGTTTGTGTTTTTGCTTTCATATTTACACAAACGAAGTAATTTGTCATTTTAATCCCAGTTACTAAAATAGATACTGATGCTTGTACATTGTGTGTACGACATATTTTTTTCCTTTCTTAACAACGTCAATTATATGATTAGTCTTTTCAGAATATAACGATAGTTTGGTTGGGAAAAAAAAGAGGATGGAAAGAGTGGAATGCACATTTCATCTCATCTCATGTTATTTTCTTACAAATTGATGAAAGTTAGCCATGTTAATAAAGTCAGTAGTAAGCAACAAATCCCTAAAGACTTTTTTTAAAAAAAAAGAAAAATTTAAATGAAAGGGAAAGTAGACATTCTTTTGAAAAAAAAAAGAAATGGAGAAGACGAAATTAGTAGTTTCTTTTGTTTCTATATCAAGTAAGTATCCACTTACTCGCTTACTTACTAACTTACTGGTCGATTGACGATAATGTGGCCCTTTCTGGTAAATTCATTAAAAAAAACAGCAACAACAACAACAACTTTAAACTGTTAAAAAGCGTTACAAGCTGATAACTTACTTTTAGCATACATAGTCAGAAGAATTCTTGGAATGACCTTCAAGCAATTAATCATTGATAATAGAGATAAAGAAAAAATTAGATATTAATGTAAGTGTAGGACTTGGGCATTGTGGTACGATGTAATTCCATATTAGATTATAATTCCCTTGCGTTCCGAGTGGAACACAGGGTTTCAGCAACACATTTCCACCTTCTTCTATTTTCTGCTATCCTCTTCAGCTGGATCCATGACTGCCCATAATTTCTCATCTCCTCCAACTCTCATAATCTCCTCCATGTCACCCTCGCACTGACGACCTACTCGTCGCTTCCCACTGAAGTTCCATTCGGGCGAAAGCCTGGCGCGCGATGTCATTCCACGGCCTCCTCAACGTGTGCTCAATCTATCTGCATTTTCTCCTACATATTTGTTGGGCGATCGGCTCTTGGTTGCTTTGTTCATCACCGAAGTTGCTTGTTGCTAATTCTTTCTGGCTGGTTGGCCATTTGATCTTCAGTGTGGAAGCCAGCCAGCGAAAGTGGGCAGCTGTTGATGAAAGTCTGCAACCTGTCGGAAATCCTTTTCGTGACACGCTGACCAAGTTTCTGATCCGTATAGAAGAATTGAATGACTTCACATCTGTGTTGATAATGCGAATCTTGTTCTTTATGCTGGCTGAGTGCAGTGCAGAAGATTTCCAAACTGGTTTCAGGTTGATGGAGGTGTATCTTGCCTTTCCGATTCTGGCTGGCTGGCTGGCTGGCTTTGACATCTTCATCCGTTCCGACTGTAGTTGAAACGATGCTTCCTAGATAAGTGAGTGAAGTAGCCTCTGTTAAATCTCTCCCGTTGATGGTGATTGTTGCTGGCTGCTGTTGGCTGCTTATCGCCATCACTTTCATCTTCTCTATGTTCACCTGGAGTCCTGTCTTTGCTGCGGGCCTCTTCTGCGAGTTTGTTGATTTTCGCCTGCAAGTCTTCGAGTTTGTGTGACATTAGACAT